GCTTTAGACCACTGAGCCATCTCACTAGCCCCTATGACATTTTCTTGTATTGGTTTTTCCCCCTGTATTTAGGACAGGTTCTACAGGGTCCCACTACTTAGATCAGACTCGTAGTGATTCTCCTCTATTCAGCCTCCCAAGTGCTGGGATTACAGGCCTGCAATACCATGCCCAGTCTCAATCTCAGTTTGCCCCGTGGGCTGGGATGGCACAGCAGGGGATCAAACCCTGGCTGCTGTGCTCTGCCTAAGCACTTTAGGCTGCTGAGCTATCAGGCCGGCCCCCATGACATTTTCAATACACAGCATCATTTCTTTTTTGGACTGAGATGGGAGGACAAAAAAAAAAAAAAGTCCCAGTATGAGAAACTGCACATACTAACCAAGTTTACAAGCAAATTCATGGTTTATTCTATACACATTTCACTACTTTAAACAACTACCTTTCACTTCCATTTTGCCTTCATTCCCAACAGAGAATGTGAGGAACTAAAGAACTGAGTGACATACTTTCTTATTTACCTACATAATTAAAAATATGGTACAAGGAAAGATTTACTTGGCAGTATCAACATGGTTCAAATATTCTAAATATTAATAAGGCAAATGAGTAAAGCACTAAAATGAGGATAAAACAAAGCCATTAAATGAACCAAATTCTTTATACCATAAAGTTGTATGTATAGAAACATTTGCATTATATTAAAAGAAAAGATAAATGGTATTGTAGCTATATACGTCATTTATTGAAAATTGTCTCTGCCTAAAGCAGCCTAAGAGAAGTGACATACTTGATATGATGGCACTGAAGGGCAGGGGATGACCACTCCTTGAATCTGATTTCCAATGCTGTTGGGTTGGCCTCCAAGTAGGCTCTGACTCTGGGGCTGCTGAACTCCAACTATTCCTTGGTAGTTTTGTTGCTGGTTGGGGATAACTTGATAACCTGTAATGGAAAAGTGAGTTAAATCCAGCTTTGAGTTCGACTGTATTTGATTTAATAGACTGTTTATATATTTTGAGCAAGTACTTTTGTGTTCTAAAATGACAGCTTTACTTAAAGAGGTGTATCTTCAAAACTTTTTTTTCTTGTACAGGGTCTCACACTCGACTGGACTCACAGTGATCCCCCTGTTTAGAGCCTCCCAAAAACTGTGACTACAGGCCCGCGCCACCACGACCAGTCTCAACTGCCATCTCAGCATGCTCTGGGGATGGGGCCGGCATGCCAGGCCCAGGGATCAAACCCCTGGCCCCTCCGCCTGCTTGCAGGTGCTTTAAAAAACTCTTTATTATGAGGTAACATTTAAAAACCTTACTATAAAACCAGCTTCTCTTTCTTTCTTGGCAGGGTCTTGCTATCTAGTTCAGGCTGCCCTGGACTCACCATGTAGCCCAGGCTGGCCTCAAACTCACAGCAATCCTCTTGGCTTAGTCGCCCCAGTGCTGGGATTACAGGTGCGCTACTACGGCTGACTTCGTTTTTTCTCTATTTCGTTCACGGTCTCACTATGCAGCTTGGACTCAGTGATCCTCCTGTTTTCAGCCTCCCCACCACTGGGATTACAGGTGTGTGCCACCACGCCTGGTCTCAGTGACTGGCTCGCGTGCCCACAACAGTATGTGGTGCCAGGGATCAAAACCTGGTCCAAACACTTGCATAAGCAGTTGCTTAGTCTGCTGAGCTATGTTGCCAGCCCTTGACTGACTTTTCTTTCTTAAGAGTAAATTAAAATAAAGCCTATATAGAGATTTCTTCGATAGTTGAGGTATTTACAAAGTCAGACTTATGGGAAATTTAGGGCAATCCCTATTCAGCTTGCTTTAGTTTTTTATGACAGCTAGTTTCTGAGGATCATAACTGCCTAGAGAATTTGTAGGGCCCAGGACAAAAGGAAAATTTGTAAGGGGCTGGGGAGATACCTCAACAGCTTAAATGAAATGCCAGCCAAGCAAGCACAAGGTCTTGAGTTCAATCTCTGGTACAAAACAAAACAAAAAAAGAAAATTTGTAGAAGCCCTTATTAAAAATTTAGGGGCCAGGGATATAGCTCAGAAAGCTTGCTTAGAAAGTATGAGGATGTGAGTTGGATTTCCAGTACCAAAAAGAAGAAGAAAAAAAAAAAAAAAAAAAAAAAAAAAAAAAAAAAGAAAAAAAACAAACTTTAGGTTACTAAGAGCGGAACTTTAAAGCAAGCGCAGCACTCCCTCCCTGATAGGATGTAGGTCCTCAGGACAACGCCCCAAAATGTGTGCGCAGTAACCACTTTTTTCAGAATGGTTACATATGTAAAGAAGTCACTTTAAGAATTCTTTCATATACCTCAGTTATCTCAGGATGCTTATAAATTACTAAATGCTACAACAGATTCATCTAAAAAAATAAACATGATAAAAAAAAATCACTTAACTTCAGACATTGAAAAACGTTTTTACAAAGATGAAATAAACTCTAGCACTGCCTATACAAACTTGAACAAGTGGAAACCAATTAAACTATTTCCCTGATATCATAAATATATAATATGTATTCATAAATATATTCTGCTACTTTATACGTTTTCATTTCCAGCCTCAAAATATTCAGGTATTTCTTAGAGACAACGGCACTACTGGACTTAAGTTACTTAAACGCCTTCATGATTCTACTCAAGGATCAAATAACTGAATAAGTGTATTCAAAGTGGTTGGGATAGATATATAGTTGCATTCTCTTAATGAATAGAATGATTTGTTCTAATGGTGTTTGTAAATAGGATCACAAGTTGCATCTTGTATAGCAATTAACCACTAAGAAGAATATATGCAGTGTATTATTTGTTGAAACTGTACTTCTGATTTGATTTGAAACTGTCTCATTGCTATCTGTTTATCAATAAAATTTTGGAAAAAAAAAGGAAGACAAATAAAAGGCATCTAATTGGGAAAAAAATAATAACTGAATAAACTCCAGGATTTACCTTCTTTAAAGATACAAATACAAAATTTCTCTGGTAACTAAGTAACACAATCATCAATAATAACAAAATAAAAATCCAGTATATATATATGTGTGTGTGTGTGTGTGTGTGTGTGTGTGTGTGTGTGTGTATAAAAATATATATAAAATGTATTTAGTACTGGGTCTACAAGTTTTCACTGTACAGATCAGACTTGTAGTGATCCTCCTGTTTTCAGCCTCCCAAGCACTGGGATTACAGGTGTGCACCACCTCGTCCAGTCTCAATCCCAGTCTCAATGTGCCCCCAGGGCGGGGCTGGCACAACACACTGGAGATTAAACCCTGGTCCCTGCATCTGTCTAAGCAGGTGCTTTAATCTGCTGAGCTGTCTGGCCAGCCCTTGAATTCTTTAACAATGAAAGATTTTTGTAAAATACGATTTTTGTGGCAACACTGCTAAATAGCCATGCTTCAAATACTTATCAACCTAACTTTGGATAAAAAAAAATGAAATATACTAGTTCTTTATCTATAAGAAAGTGACTGATAATATGTTCATCTGTTATACCCTTCTCCCTTGTGTATTTTTTTGTACTACTTCAAGTTGGAGGTAGGTAAAGGAAAAAAGCAGAAGAAACTTTTCACAGGTTTTATTCTTAAGAGTTGATATTCAACCCCATTTTCAGCTCATCAAATGACAAATATTCTGCATTCATACACCAAATGCCAAACACCATCGAAGCATACACACAATCCCACTCAGAGGAACACAGAGGAATGAAAATGGTATTTGGACACAAGGCCTTGGGGGAACCCAACCTCACCCAAGCAGATGCTGGTCAGAATCTGGGCCCCACTCTAGGCCGACTGGGAAACTAACAATAGAACTGGCTAAATTATACCCTATTGATAAGCAAAACAAAATAAACTGTAGATACATGGCAAAATTACTGTAAAAACTTTCACTTAACCACATTCTCCTAACAAACATTAAATGTTACGCTTATTAATGTGTGTGTGTGTGTGCGTGCGCGCACGCGCTATGTTGGGCACAGAACCCAGCACCTTGTCCATGTGAAACATGCACTCTACCACAGAGATAAATTCCCAGCCTACCTATACTTTCATATAGTTTTTTATTTATTTTTTTAAATTTTATTTATTTA